AAGTTTGAAGAACTAACTTTTGAGAAAGCTGATTACACCAGAGATAAAGAAAACAAAAGGAAGCGTCCACTGGTTCAAGGAAAACGAGATAATTATTGTGCTACTCCACCATACGCAAAAAAGGTATGTATAGTAATTATGAACTTGACATATTGCCATTGGTTTGAATATTTTTTCCTGTGGTGTTTTGGGGTTTTATTGAACATATTTCCTATCTTTAGGTTCAAACCGATGAAATAAAAGCATTATATACATCTCTGCAAAGAAATGGTAAAGCTCAATTATTGTGCAAGACTTTGCTTGGCAATAACTTTGAACCAAACAGCACTTTTCAATCAAGCTGTACAGTTCAAAAGAAAAACCAAGAAAAATCTAGTGATAGTTTTAAAAGAGATTTATTATTTGAAAACATGCCACAGTTGGATGTTCAGCCAAATATTTCACCTGACACATTACAAAAAATTGAGAACAAAGTTGGTGTTAGCAAAGACGAGGCTGTGGCCATTGAGGTCTCAACTAGATGTCAACGACAAAGTAAAGATTGGTTTAAGGAGAGACAAAAAAGGTTGACATCATCATTATTTGGAAGGGTGATCAATCGAAGGGAGAATATTGCTCCTGTATCAATTATAACAAGCATAAAGAAAACAAGTTCTTCATTGTCTAGACTGACCCCTTCATTGAAGTGGGGAATTGATAATGAACATGTTGCTCTTGAAATGTATACGTCCAAGAGTGGGGAGGAAGTAGCTGATTGTGGATTGATCATCAACCCTTCCTGGCCCTGGCTTGCATGTAGTCCAGATGGCATTGTTTACAGGGAAACAAATCCAGTTGGAGCCATCGAGATTAAATGCCCATACTCAAAAAAAGAAATGACAATTGAAGAATGCTGCAAAGATTCATCTTTTTACTTGAAGAAAAATTCAAGTGGAGTTATTGCACTAAAACAGTCACATGTGTACTATTATCAGTGTCAAGGTGTTCTCAACATCACAGGTTTGAATTGGATTGACTTTATTGTATACACAACAGAAGATTTTTTTATTCAGCGAATACACAGAGATATGGAGTTGTGGAAATCAAAAATGCTCCCTAAGCTAACATTTTTTTATTCTCAGTACCTGTTGGATTAGTTCAAGGATTACAACATTTCCTTTGATGATTGTTCTTGTAAATGCAATAATGGATACTAATATAGATCACTTTATAGAAAAAATATAGAACACTTAAACAAACAATTTATAGAACATTTTAAAACACAAATGTGAAAAATTGTTTTACTCAAGGGAATGTAAAAATGCATGAACAGTAGACTGAAGAAGAAGGCCTATCAAACATTGTTTCTTTACCCTTGAGCCAAAGGATGAACTGATTTATGTTGAATATTCTAACTTACAGTAATAAAAGTTTATTGTTTTCTATTATTAAGTTTGATAGTGAGGGAGAAACGAAACAAAGCTATGGAATTAAGTAGTATTGTGGTGTACTTTTGTATATTACACATCATTACATCATTTGATTATGATTACATCATTACATAACTCTCTATTCACTTTCTGCAATGATTGGTGGCATTAGATTACAAAGGTATGCACAAATTACCCATATTTTGTTTAAGTCAGCTGCCATTGATAATGGGAATTCCATTTTCAAAATTCTAAAACATTTAATTCTTCGAATTGCCCATTCCACATGTATGCGTAGTGCTGCAATCCGCCTCGTTTCTGTTTCCTCCTCTAGTGAGAAATGGTCTTTCTCTCTCAGAAATGGTGGAATATTAAGAGAAACATTCTTTGGAAGAATATCCTCAATGTCAAATCCCTTATCCACCATAATACTATCACCCTCTTCAAGTAAAGGAAGTATTCCACAGTCTTTAGTAGCCTCCTTATCACTTGTTCTTCCTGAATATAGATCAGAAACAAATGTAATCATTCCAGATGGTGCAATGCCCACTARTCYCTTAGCAGTATTATGATGTTTGTAATTTGAGTATGTYTTGCTTTGTGATCTTAGGGAGCTTGGCATTTCTATAAACAGTTCGGTGCAATCWATTATGACTCTGGTTTGGGGGTAGGAATCCTTAAAGCTCTGAGGCATTGTCTCATTTACAATTGACCTTGTGGGCCATATTGGATGACTTCTAAATCTTGTGTGTAAGAAATCATGCCAAGTTATGCAGATTCTTGAAACATGGGATGCTAAAATTCCAACTCTGCAAGCTAAATCATCCTCTAGTAAACCACATCTTAGCCTTGTAAGAACCATAAAAAATTCCTGTTCTGCAGTAAGTGTCCTTTTCCTTCCCCGTTTTCCCTGAAGATGGCTAGTTAGTCTCTCCGAGTTGGTGTTAGAGTCATAATAAATCAGGTTTTCTACAGCAGAACCAAAAGAATCAAAAATGCTTTTAAAGATTGTGTAGTCTTCAAGCCCAGTATAAAATTTCAACATATTTGCATCATCTTTAAATCTTTCGATTGTAAATGATTTCTTGAAAACTTGATTCTCAAGATTCTTCACTTGAATTTCATAACTTTCCTTCAAAGACACTAGTTCTCTTTCAAGTTCCACTATTCGTAAGGTTAATTCCTCAATTTGTTTCGTGCAATCTGCATGTATATTAACTTCTGGTTCAATATTGTCACTTTCATAGTTGAAGGAATTTTCAGTCGTTTCAAGATCATTGTTATCACAGCCAGATTGAGAGAAATCTGTATCATTTGGATTCAAAAATTCACGATTCCTTGCACGTTGAGTTGGACGAGGCTTCGAGACCTTTGATTTTGAATTTTTTGGCACAATAGTTGGAACATTGTTGTCGTATGTTTTGGCGCCACCAGGAAAATGGGCTGAACAAACACGGTGATTAGGGCTCGGTTCAAAGTTTTTTCGACTGACCAGAAAGATCCATCTCTTGCTTAATTGCTGTTTTTCTTTAGTATGACGGTTGGGAAATCTATAGAAGTGCAAATCTGTGTTTTTTTTGTTATTGTTGTAACACCCGGGAACACAACAAGTGTATCCGCCACGTGTCTTTTACGCCTTAGCCTTAAAGCCATTTGATGACGTTTTATCTTCAAAATTAACGTTCTCTGGATGTTTGGATGTTGGCTCATTCGGCTCAGAAGAGCTAKGTTCAGAAGAGAGAGCCRTAAAGGAATCCAATTGTTCCGATGGAAGACTTCGCGGGAAATTTTCCGCCATTTTATCCAGATTTGATACCACTCTAACCACAATGCACTGGGCACTTTCATATGCAAATTTTATAGAGTCGAGAATTCACCTTGTTGCTCATTCTGTTTATATCACGTAGAAACAGTCGAACATCTATTTATAGATTGCATAAAATCCAAAATCCTGTATATTCAAATAAGAGATTGGCTTAAAAATTTCAATATCTTACTACCAAACTTAACGTACATAGACATCATCTTAGGCGTAGAAAACATGTTCGTAAATATGGTTATCTTGGTATACAAATCATTATTATACAAATACAGAGAAAAAAAGGCCCCACCCTCACTCCAAGTCTTCAAAAACACTTTATCTCAAATTGAAACAATTGAAAAACGAATAGCAGTTTCAAAAGGAAAATTAGACATGCATGAAAGGAAATGGAAAAAAATAAAAATATCGTGAAGAAGCATCTTTGAAATATCTAAAATGTTAAGTTCATGTATAGAAATATCTAGACATATCATCTTTTTTTTTGTAAATAACCCAAAAATATCTTGTAAAAATATCTTCTATTGTCAATAACAACATATTGTGGGCTTCGCTTATGGCAAAGCTCTCTTCAATTGTAAATAGTAACTTATAATATTTAGTAATTATTATCTAGCAGTAATGTACTAATTAATGTAGTAATGTACTAATAAATATATTAAGACGAAAAAAAAATATTTGATAACTTCTCGCACATTTTGTTGTGTACACCAACATCGTGCGCAGGGCCTATTGAGATACTTAATTGATTTCACTTTTCATTAGAATGGCAATTTCTTAATTGATTAATCTTTGTATAATATATTATAGCCTTCAACTAAAACATCTTCATCAGTTGGTAGCAGTAGTCATGATTGTAATTTTTCAGAAATGGATTCGCAGACTGAGGATTCTTCAACTTCTCAGTCTGTGCTGGGAACACAGGTAGCAGTTTGTGATGACTTTGTTGATCAGTACTATGTAAGTGCCTATAGTTCATATTTGAATGTACATGTATAGCAAATCTCATTGTTTTGATGCCATCCAGCATCATTTTCAAGAGCTAAACAGACCTTTTCAAAAAATATAAAACAATTTAAGCCAGCCCATTGCCTAATGGTAGTTCCTGAAATTAATAACAATTTCACCAGCAATAAAAAGTTCTCAGACAAAATAAATTCTCAGTGATTCACAGAATGCTAATTTTATTTGAAGAGCTAGATCATCACTAAACTCTGTTCGGGACCATGATTATTACTGAATAAAATTGTTGATTTTTCTCTTGAAAATGCTGTAAGGCATTAAAACTAAGGTGAAAAGGATCCCAAAAGTGTGCTAGTTTTTGTTAAAAAATATTGATCATTACTAAATATAAAAGGAAAACATTTTTCTTTAAGGAGAACAAACTGAAACAAATTCATTTGAATAACAGACAGCTAAAAAAAAAACAATAAACAAACAAACAACAAAAACAGCTAGAGTGAATGTGCTTAATCCAAGTTGTGTTGAGAAGACAATACTTAACAAAGGAATTAGCACATAATTTATCACTATAATTTTGCAATATTTGTGTTTCACTGATTAAGTGTGCTCTCTCTACTGAAAGGAAGTATGTTTATATACAATGTAAATTTGAAACATTATAAGTAATGCCCCGAGTAAGAACTAGGGAAGCAAATGGCACAGGAATGCAAGAAGGTGCTAATTGCGCATTGTATAATCCATCCATCCCATTGGTTAAAACATGAAAATCTGCTATAAGTTCCCAAGTTAGCGAATTTTCTAATATAATTATATTTAATGTCGTTTTTTGCTTTCATGAAAGCTTTCTTTAGCTTTAATATTAAGGCAATTCTATGTGGGGAACATTGCAAATTAGAAGCATCTTTTAGCTATTGTTTTGATTGCTTATGATTGGATAAGAGCTTTTAATACAAAAGAAACTTTGTTTCAAAATAGAGTTTATCGACATTTTATTTCAAAAATGTGTTACCCACAAATGGATACATAATCAGTGTGAAAACCAAGACATTCGTACATGGGGAACTTGCTATGCCGCACAACAATAGAGAGCTCCCTAGTTCTTACGCRCATTGTTACTTAATAATAACTGAAATATGGTTTTTACAGCCAGAAAGAAAGTCTCCCACTCTTGGTAAATTAAGTAGTGATGATGATAATACCATGAACTATGATGATACAATGCAGCTGTTTTCTCAACCCATCCCAAACTAAGGAAAAAGTAAAAAGCCAGTCAGTGAAATCCAATGACCTTAAAGGTGATTGTATAAATAATTCATTGTGTATAGTGCATGTATAATTCATTGTAAATGTCAGACGTTAACCATTCAATTGATGACTAATACTTACCTATCAGTTGGAACTGACTGGTATGAAGCATGTTCTCTAAAATCTTGCATGTGTTTTTACAGTGCGGACACTCCAACTGGGACCAGTGACATAAAACATTTGACCAATCATATTGCAATGTTTCATAAATATGGCAATGTGATTGGTCAATATTTATGTCCTTGGTCCTTGATCCTGGTAGGAGTGTCCTCACTGTAAAGTCAGTGTATCAAACAGAAATATTTTTGAAATTGTTAATTAATCAAGGGTATGCCAATGCTTGTATAAAAATAATTATCATGATGAACTTTTTTAGGAAAAGATGCTGTTTGTGTAGTGTGTGTTGCATTCAATGCAATAAAGATTGGTGATATCTCAAGAGCTCAATTACATTCTGCAGTGAAAAAGTTTGGTGTGGATACCAAAAACTTCAGAGACAAAAATAGTCTTATTGAGATTGTTGCTAACTGTCTTAAAAAAATATAGTTACATAGCAATTGAAAATGAGTCAGACAAAGACATTACAAGAGAACAAGTCAAAAAACTTAAGTCATTCTAAGTAAACCAATGGCAAATGACAAACTACAGTTTGAAGATCGAACTTAAATATTAACAGTTGGCATTAAAAGAACATAATACAATTGACACATTCAAGTTTAAAGATTAGGTTAATCAATATTAAATATTACTGTTACAGTTGACATTAAAAGAACAGGATACATGATTGCATTATGTATCTATCCATTAATAAGCCATTCATGGAATTACTATAATTTTCTATGTCAAAAACATTGACTCATTGTCGACTGATGTTGATTTGTTGATTTTTGAGCTTTTTCGACCCTAACATCTTGATAAAATAATTGACTTCCATATAAGGTGCTGTCAATAAGACTATTTCGTATTTGAATTCCCTAGGGAGCATTAATTTATACAGGGCTTTGTAAATTTAGGTCAGACCGTTTGTTTATCGACTGGTTGAGCCTMAATTTACMTAAAAACCYGTTTATAAGTGTTTTTTTGAGCTTTTTGCTGCCACAGGAGCCCCTAGGCTTGCATCATTAAGCTTGACTAGTCGGCAGAGACAATCTTCTGGAAGAAATCAGAGGTGGAAAGCGATTTTTCGAAGACAATGGCTCCAAGTCACGGTTTGTTTTGAACTGCAGACATCATTGTAAGATCGCTTTCCTGGTCCATCTGTGGCAGATTTTCCAACCTACCAAGGTAATTTGGGCAATATTTGACAACCAAAGAATGCAATTGGCCCGATATTTTGCCGGTAGGTGCGGGGGAGCTCACACTTATAAAAAAATTCTTAAAAGAAGAATGCTGCACGATTTATGTCCAAATTTTCCGTTTTCCCATGATGCATTTCGATCGTGCATAGAAGTTTGTTGTACCTGGTTTTCAAAAGAGAGCTGTTTAAAAATCTGCAGTGCATTTGACAAAATAAAAACATCGAAATGTGGACGTTCTATCAAAGGGGTTTGCAAACCAAGAGGACTTTTTGCTAGGAGAACATATTTTGACGCTACAAATTGAGATGAAAATCAGTGTACTCTGCCGTCCTTCAAACTCAGATTTTGGCATTCATTTCAAAGCAGAGTTATGTTTTGAATCTTTTGTTTCCTCGTTGCAAAATTCTTTCAACTGTAAGATCGACAGTATCTACTAGTAAGTTCGTACAAGCAATTTCAGGGCTCTAGCTTACTATTTCGGCAACTTATAGACTTTTGAYGCATAGGTCGAATWCRACCTAAATTTCAAGGGGCAGACGGGAAAGAGTTAAAGGACACTGTTAAAAACCATTGATGTGGTTTTCAATTGTTAATTGCAATTCCCATTGTGAGATATCCACAAAAACCACCAATGTTTTATGACCAACAACCATCGATATGACTGTGATATTAAACATTTATGTATTTTGTTCTTAAACCATTCATGTAATTACTAATATTTTCCATATATGGATACTACTTGATTCAAAACCATTAACATATTTTTCAATGGCTATTCCCATTAAGATATTTACAAAAAAAATGGTTTATGACCAATAACCATGATATTAAGCCATTAATGGATATGATGTTAAACATTAATGTTTTATTCTTAAAACATTAATGGGTAGTGTTTGATGAAAACCATTGTCGGTTTTTTAATGGTTAACATCCAATTCCCATTATAAGATGTTTACAAAAAACACAAATGGTTTATGATCAATAACCATTTTATTAACCGTTAATGGATATGATGTTAAACATTAATGTTTTATTCTTCTAAAACATTGATGGTTTTTAAGCCTTCAAACCAATGATGGGTTTTTAACATATAAAGGCCCGGTTCATACGTCGAGCCAGTGTCGCGCCGAACCAAATAGTTTGAATTTAGCACATGAATAGCTCGACGTATGAATCATTGAGTTCGGCGCGACCATAGCACGGCATTGGCACGGCAGAGTCAGTCGTGCTGCACGGCAAAAGCTCGATGCTGATTCAAACGTCGAGCTATCGTCGTGCCGAACTTAATTCACAAAAATACCTGTTTTCAACAATAATAATTGTGTAAATTGCGTGTTATCGCACCTTTTCTTATGCTTTTGACTGCATTTGGTTCGACGTATGAATCAAMKMCGTACSAAATGGATTTGGGTCGACACAAATTGACTATTTGGTTCGGCGCGACGCTGGCTCGACGTATGAACTGGGCCTTTAAGCTTACCATCATGGTTTTCCATTGTACAAAACACATTAATGGTTAGTGTTCGATATAAACCATTGACGGTTTTTTTAATGGTTAATATACATTTACCATGAAAAAATACCATAAATGGTTTTTTACTTTTTTTTCCTGTGATGACTTCTGTCAAGTACTTTCGTCACGATTCTCGCCCGGTCAAACGACCCCCCCGGCCCTTTGGACAGAAGCATATGGGAGTTTGATTAAAAATTAAACGTTTAAATGTCGTACATGTCATCAGAGTAATTAGTTGGAAGTTAATAAATTAAAACAGATAGAAAATAATGGTCATTTGTCTTAAAGATCAGATCATTGAAGCGTTTAAACTTCAACTAAAGTTTGAAGAAATCGGGTTTGTCCATTGGAGCGAAAATGGCGGTAAAATTTGAAATATCGTTCGAAGGAATTCGGTAGTAGTTTTCGCTTGAACATCTAAACAAAATTAAAAAGCATAATTTCTAGTACACTCTTACCTTTGTTCGTTATTATACTTTGTATAAGATGATACGAAATTCAACCAATATGTCGAATGAATCGTCTTCACTGTGCTGTGTCGAAGTCTAATCCTACCCATCATCTCTTGCGATCTGGTTTCCACAGGAAGACCAATCCTCAACAAGGTCAGATGATTTATTGTTGAGTAGAAAGACTCGACAAAACACTTCGTTTAGAAGATCATTTACAATACAATATTGCTGAAATCACTGTAACACGAGGAAACTATCGAAACTCTTTTATCAAAAAAAAGAAAAATTTGACCCCGATGATGACGTTGTCAAGTGCAACGTAGACTCGCGACTACGCATGCGTTAACTTTCTAAATCCAAGATGGACGCCAACTTGAATCAGCTGAAGGTAATTTATCAAAATATTGTTGTGTTTTCACCTTTATTGAATAATATTTTTTCGTCTTTTACAGTTACAGATCAATAAGAGTCTTGGTGATGCGTCTGTAGTGGTAAAGGCATCTTGTGGGGTGGTTTGTGTCCTATATGTACTAACGTTTATTCCCCCAGTTTGGCCTGCATTAGCAGTTTGCCCAGGGTTGTAAGTACATAAGCTTATGTTTTGTATTCTCATATTGCATTTTGTTTTCTTCTTTGTGGTTGAATTAAATACCTATAAATTAAATCAGGAGGGCATGATTCTCAAGTCGAATAACGTTTATATATGTTACGAGAATGTTCAACAGTTTACTTAATGTAGCTTACTGTTTATAAATTTCGCAGTGTTTTTGTGGTTTTCTCTTCTTATTAAAATTATTCAGAGTGATAACGGTATTCAGCTTTGACTTTGCAATACAAATGAGCTTTGTGTACAAAAAGGGGTACGTTTTCAATAGGATACATAGATATCATTGTCACTTTTTTTAATTGTGTTATTGTGTTACATGGTCAATTCCATGTTGCGGGCATTACCTTCAGATGCAAAATATGGCTACAAAACTGTTCACAACTTACTTTAGCAAGCTAGGTGGATCAAACTTTGCTATAATTAAGCTCAAGGGGACCCTCACACTATGTATGTGAAAAACACCAGATGCCTCCTTTCCCTCCTTAGATATTTTGTTTATAGTGACTGTTGCGGACATTACCCTAAAAACAACCATGTATTCAAGTGACTGCTTTTAAGCTAGAATTGCTGTGAATTGCGAAAAGCTTCCAAGAGACTAAAACTCTGATTAGTAATAATGGCCATTAAAACTTTATTATTTCTATAATAAGTGGAAGCTATAGACTAAATTATTTGTTGCAGACATTACCCCATAAGTGTTTCTGACATTAAATTTTTGGGATAGTATAAAATTAAAGCAAAAGATCTGGCAGGAATAAATATACAATGTAAAAAAAGTGTTTAATAGCTACTTTATGCTTAAAAAACTCATACATAATTAATAAGCTACTAGGCCAATAGAATAAGCCTATTTGGTCACATGCATGGACCTTTATATCTGATAAAACACTCCTTATTAGTATTCTTTATATAAAGAATACTAATAAGGGTGACCTTTATCAGATATAAAGGTCCATGACCCTAGCAAAGGTCTCAGGTTTGAAACCTGATCATTGACCAATGCAGGATGTCAACTGATTTCAGTGAACAGCCAAGAGCGCTTCTATTTTACTTTATGCATATTCAATGTGGGATGACAAGAGTGCTTTGTAAAGTGATTCGCGCATGATCAGTTTGCCCCATTTATCTCTGAACATATTTGTACGGCAATTTCTCCAAGAATTTTAACAGATTTGAGTTTCAAATTAGTGTTGGAGTTTTTTAAGCCGTTTAAAACACTCAAGATCATGTTTTATCAGCTCGAATCTTCATACCTKAYAWAWCACWCYCTCWCRKSTTTTAAACTATACTTAAAGAACAGTCATTTTAGGTAATAATCAAAACAAAAAAAATGAACATAGCAAGAAAAAAGAACTATTCATTGAAAGTGGAAAGTCACCACTTAAATTTTAGATTTTGGTCAGTTTTATTACATGCAAGCATGCCTTAGAGGAGTACTATGCTTTAACTATGAAAAGAAGTACTTTTTTCTAAAAAAACCAGCAATATTTCACAAATAAAAATGGCAAAAAGTTGAAATGGTAATGTCGGCAACGGTAATATCCGCAACGGCATATCTAATCAATTAATTAATTTTTCGTCACTTTTGAAATATTTGCTCACTTGTTAATCTAAAAGAGCAGCAGTAATGAGATCATGCTGAGAGTAATTGTTGAGTTGCAAAATGAGATTAAGAGCAGTTCTTGTTGCGGACATTACCCTCTTGCATATCAAAGTTTTGAGGCCTGAATAATCAAGCTGAAATGGTGTAAAGAAAATTTGGCAATTGCAAAATGATTATTGGAGTCTCTTAGTGCTTGAGGATTTGTATTTGCACCTCTAGGCATATTTCCAGTCCATAATCATGACAGATAAAATCTACATGTAAATGGCCCAAGATTCTCGCTAACACTATGCCGCGTTTAATGCCCTGCTACAGAGCGGCCGTGGTCATTTTTTTTCAAAATAAATTGTGATTTATGTTAATTCAGTATATTGACAATAATAAAATATGTAAGAGTTACATACCGAGAACGGAGGCAATCAGCCTAATATACATAGGCCCGAGGGATATATAGGCTGATTGCCGACGTTCGAGGTATGTAACTGGCTTATTTCATACTTGAAGAAGTTTTCCAAGCACTGCATTAATATTTTCATTTTTAAATAGGCAAAGAAGCCGTTTTCATATGAATTAAAAACCAAACCCTCGATTAGAAAGATTACAAAATTTACATTATTGACCATTCCCAACGGGAATAATTTGCATAACCAATTTTCTTGTTAGTCCCATGAGACCAATGCTAATTATAAAATAACTATTATATAACGCACGCGCTGATTGGTTGAAAAGCGCAAAAAAACGTGTTTCTATGAGAGCATAAATTTGTCACGCACATACACAAATCGCAGCGTAAGATCGACAGCTATTACTCTTTGGGCTGGCCTCACAGATCGTCAAATTATGGCTATTTCGGGACACCGAAATGAGTCAAGTTTGAGATCATACCATAGCCGACCAAGTTCAAACAGCCTCCAGCAGTGTAGCGACGTCCTCTCAAGTGCTTTTAACAGAAAAACAGCCACAAACCGTCACCCAAAGCTTCAAAAGTTCCACAAATTCAAGTCAGAGTAGCCACTTCCGAAGCGAAATAGGCAGTATTTTCTCGACTTGCAAGATAGACAAAGTTGAAATTCATTATAACCGTTGAAGTGTAAACAGCACACTTTGAAGTTGAGCTTGAGACTTTTTGCTTACAGTTTCTGACTTTTTGCATGTAACTGAACTCTGAAATTCCCTTTTAAATAATTTTAGACTTGATCAGCGTTTCTTATGGTCTTTGTATTGACACTTTGCAAGATTGAAGTCGAATTTTTCATCGAAAGAAAACTATTTCTTCTCGGCCTCAAACTCGCCAGGTTTAGAAATGCATTGCGTATTTTGATTGGTCGATTTCTTGATTTGACGATGTTAAGAGAATTTGCCATGCAATCGAACGTATTAAATGCAATTTCTTACTTTAACTTCGTTATTATTATCTGCTGTTGTGAAAGCTCGTGATTCAAAACCTTTTCTCGTGTTCTCCCAACAATCCCGCGTGTTTCTAACAGAGAATAGAAACACTGAAAATATCTTCTAATGCTTAACAATAAACCTTTTGTAACAAGTAACTGGACAATGTTAAATATCTGTTTTATTCCATAGCTGACATCGATTAGTCAGTTAGCATAACGTGTTAAGTATAGGAKTTTCAAAGCTRAGKTTGTGGGTTCGAATCTACTTGGTGTCATTTGAATTTTTCTTTCTTTCTTTCAAGTTTAAAGTTTCAGACGGAARATTTCTAAGTTGAACGTAGTAGTTAATTAGGTATTCAAGGGCAATAACATTAGTATTCAAGGGCAATATATAGATATTGCCCTGAAACTTCGTTATAAAGCACTTGAATACACAACGAGCTGGGGAATAAGCGAGATACAACACTATGAATAACAAAGAAAACTGAATCAAGTATGAAATAA